TTGTCACCCTCTACACACTGATTTAAAATAAACAAGGAGGAATTCCAGTCAGTTTACATATTCAGCACTAAGAAATGATGGAGAATTTATGGAACATCCATTTGGTGGTCATTAGAAATATTGTTTAAAAGTGTGTAATGACATAGGAATGGCTTGAGTAAAAATAGCAAGACACAAAATTATACATATGATACAATTTCAGCTCTGTTCTTTCTTATACATTGAAATGTTTTGGTACATAGAAAATTTTTACACATAGAAAAAAGAAATGTATTTAAAGTTTGTCAACTACTACAATGAAATATTTACTTGGATAATCAGAAATACAAAAAGTTTTTTAAAAAGAAGAGAAAAATTAATAAAAGAGAAGTTAAAAGCCAAGTGACCACATATGAAAAAGTACATCAAAAGTTTGCAGTTTTCATCCTGAGCAACATGGCAAAACCCCATCTCTACAAAAAAATCCAAAAATTAGCTAAGTGTAGTGGCTCATGCCTATGGTCCCAGCTACCCGTGAGGGTGAGGTGAGAGGATCACTTGAGCCAGGAGGCAGAGGTTGTGTGAGCCATGTTCACGCCACCGCACTCCAGCCTAGGTGACAGTGAGACCCTGTCTCAAAAAAAAAAAAAAGTTTTAAATCCTTTTTAGAATAAGGCAAGTTAGGAAGGTATGACTGAATGGAAATTGATGACTACTGAAAAGCTGAAATACATTATTGGAATTCAGTGCATTTCTTGATAAGACAGTGGATTTGAACCACTGTAGTAAGGGGAGGTATGTTCTTTAGCATCCTTTGTGAATTTAACTATGTATAAGGAAAGAAAAATCAACTCTGTGTTGGCAAACTGGTTCATTGCCATAATAGTACTAGTGATTGCTAATGTTTATGTACTATGTACCAGGCATTGTGCTAAGTGACTGATATGGTTGGGCTGTGTCCCCAACCAAATCTCATCTTGAATTCTCTTGTGTTGTGGTGGGAGGGACCTGGTGGGAGGTAATTGAATAGTGGAGGCAGGTCTTTCCTGTGCTGTTCTCGTGATAGTGAGTAAGTCTCATGAAATCTGACAGTATTATAAAGGGGAGTTTCCCTACACAAGCTCCTCTCTGCCTGCTGCCATCCACGTAAGATGTGACTTGCTCTTCCTTGACTTCAGCCATGATTGTGAGGCCTCCCCAGCCATGTGAAACTATAAGTCCAATAAACCTCTTTCTTTTGTAAATTGCCCAGTCTTGGGTATGTCTTTGTCAGCAGTGTGAAAACAGACATATATGGTGACACACATGCACTATCTTCAGAGGCTCCAGAATCCCCATATGGGGCAGGTTTGAGAATGTAATTTGGTTGGAGAGCAGGGCTAAGGGACTTGAGGTGGCATAGGAGACCCACTGTCTTTTCTTAAACTATAGGTTTATTTGGAATTGCTTAAGAGAGCTGATGGCGATTATGCATGTGTAGTAATAGTGCTCTAAAGCCCCAAAAAGTGACAAGTCACTTCTTGGTTCCACCACTGCTGATTTCATTGAATCCTCACAATAACCCAGTAAGGCAGAATCGGTTATTACTCCCATTTTCTACATGAGAAATCCCAGACTTAGAGAAGTTAATAATTTGGTTAAAGGTCACATAGGTAGGAAATGTCAGAGCCTCATTTGAAAATAAGTCGGACTCCTGAACCCGTGTTCTTTGCTACGGTATTCTACTCCCATTCGTACAAGGACTAGCCTTGGCCAAAAGTTGGCAAATGGATTTTACCTACCCACAGAAAATGGCTCAGATCAGACTCGACACACACACACACACACACACACGCACACTCTTCTACTGAATTAAAAAAGAAATAGCCAAGGGGAAACTACTGATTAAATATAATAAAATATATTATGTTGAAAACAACATTATTTAACAAGCAAGACCTTTTCACTAACTTGATAATTCATCATTTGGTTTTCGAGGATGAATTGCACTGACTACAAATGAGTCAGATTCCTCAGAAGGGTCTTAAAATACATATAATAAATCAGGTATTAAAAAGCCAAACACATAAAGGGATTTGTGATGAACAGGATAAGCACAACCCACTCTGAAAAGTGCAGCCTGAGATTTAAGTTTAGACTATTGCTCAAAGGGGAGGCTTGTTTTTCCACAAAGAGAATGCAAGGGATTCTCCCTACCTCAGCGCCCCCCAGCTTAGTGGGGCAGTCTTACCTGTCCTTGAAGATCTTGGTCGCAATTGGATCTATTAAAAATTTTAAGGACTATTAAAGCTATGCTATTAAAAACTGCATATTAATGTTGGAAAACATCAATTTGAAAAGAATTTACAAAGTACTATTAGGATGTAAAACCCTTTTTTGGTAAAATGAACAAATAAAGATATGCTTATATGCAGAAATATGTAGTCAGCAAAACCACTGAAAAGAAATACACTAAAATATGTTAACAGCAAATTTTTTCCTCCCTTCTCTTCCCTTCCCTTCCCATATCTCCTTCCTTCCTTCCTTCCTTCCTTCCTTCCTTCCTTCCTTCCTTCCTTCCTTCCTTCCTTCCCTCCCTCCCTCCCTCCCTCCCTCCCTCCTTCCCTCCTTCCTTCCCTTCACTCTGTTGCCATGGTTGTAGTGCAGTGGCATGATCTCAGCTGACTGCAGCCTTGACCTCCCAGGCTCAAGCGACCCTCCCACCTCAGCCTCCTGAGTAGCTGAGACTACAGGCGCGTGCACCACACCTGGCTAATTTTTTGTATTTTTAGTAGAGATGGGGGTTTCACCATGTTGCCCAGGCTGGTCTTGAACTCCTGGGCTCAAGCAATCTGCCCACCTCAGCCTCCCAAAGTGTTGGGATTACAGGTGTGAGCCACCATGCCTGGCCAACAGCAATTTTTTCTGATGTTCTGATGGGTGATTTTTATCTTATTACTCTCTGGTTTTTTGTGTGTATTTGCCTGGTATTCTGGATTAAATTTACTAATTTGCAATTAGAATAAAATGACTTAAAATGAAAGACATTGGTCAGGTGTGGTGGCTCACGCCTGTAATCCCAGCACTTTGGGAGGCCGAGGTGAGTGGATCACATGAGGTCAGGAGCTTGAGACCAGCCTGGCCAACATGGCAAAACCCCATCTCTACTAAAAAGACAAAAGTAAGCCGGGTGTGGTGGCGCATGTCTGTAACCCCAGCTACTTGGGAGGCTGAGTCAGGAGAATTGCTTGAATCCAGGAGGTGGAGGTTGCAGTGAGCCGGGATGGCACCACTGCATTTCAGCCTGGGCGACAGAGTGAAAGACTCCATGTCAAAAAAAAAAAAAAAAAAAAAAAAGACATCATTGCCATACCTACTTTTTAATGTCAGTACAGCAGGTTATGGTATGGAATGCATTTTTGGAACAAGATATTAACAAAAATTCAAAGGAACAAATACACGGCCATGGAATTCCAGTACTGAGAGACATTTGGGAATATTGGGGGAGTTTTCCAAAAGAGGGACCCAGGTGACCATATTTGTTAAATGAATAACAAAAGGAAACAGAACGAAAAGGAAGAGAGAAGTACAAAGATCTGAGAAGAGAAGGTGCCAGGGGCTGCTGAGAAATGGCCAAATGTTAATTTCATTATTTGGCTTCTTATTTTATTCTGGGTAAAGGTAGACCTATTAGTTTCCTGTTGCCACCATAATAAATTACCACTAACTTAGTGGCCTCGAGCAATGCAAATTTATTCTTTCAAAGTTCTGGAGGACAGAAGTCCAAAAATGTGTCTTATCAGCTGAAATCAAAGTGTCATGTTCCTTCTGGAGGCTCTAAGGAGAATCTCTTCCTTCTCTTTTCTAGTTCTAGAGGCCATCTGTGTTCCTTGGCTCATGTTCTTCTTTCAGCAATGGCATCACTCTGACCTTTGCTTCCATTGTCACATCTCCTCAACTCTGACCCTTTTGCCTCCCTCTAACAAGGCCCCTCTGATTACACTGGGCCCACCAGATTATTCAGGATAGCCTCTTTGTCTCAAGATCCTTAATTTAATCATATCTGCCAAGGGTTTGGTTTTGTTTTGTTTTTGCCATTTAAGGTAACATATCCACAGGTTCTGGGGATTAGGACGTGGACATCTTTGAGGCAGACATTTCCCAACCTACCATACAAGGAAACCAGTAGGTAAGGTTCTACTACCTACTAAATGCATCATAAACAGCACTTCTTCTAATCCTTCAACAACTCTGTGAAATATATGACAGAATTTGCTTTTAAAGTTCAAGAAATCAAGCCTTGGTGCAATTTGCGATTATGCCCATGGTTAAATAGTGGGGAGGCAAACCCAGGTCCCTGAACCCAGCTCAAGCCTGCCTGCCTCATGGCCCTGCCTCCATTCACCTCTCCCCTTCATGTCTACTTCCTCTTTCCTGTCTGGGCCTGTTCCCCAGCTCCCTGGACAAGCTTAAGCTGCTGTTTTCTAGCTTGTCATGTGCTCCTGATGACAGTGTAGCCACAGGTTGATCTTAGCAATTGCTGATTGAGCGAGCTGAGTGGCTGTCCCTCAGAATCTTCTCTTAGGCCTTTCTCTTGCCTTCCTTTATTCAGTAAGTGTTTTGAGCTTATTGTGCTGGGTGCTAGAGTAGCAGGGAGGACAGACCTAAGCTGAAGATTACAGGACAATCTAAGTGACACCTGCTATCTCAGACATAGAGACTACAGCATCATAGGGAGCCAGAGCAGGGAGTTCCACGCACTGGGAACTGTGTGACTCTTTCTTATTGACCCTTAAGCAAAAACCTAAGCTCCAGGGAAGCAGAGGCAGCAGCTTGAGCTCCCTGATTGACCAGATACGATTAATCTTTGTTTCTCTGTGCTTTGAACATGACTGTGCTCCATAAATATTAAAAAGTTGGGAAGAGGGGTGAAGGCAGATACACCAAAAGGAGCAAACAGTGTCTGAAACCAGCAAAGGGTTAAAAGTTACCAAAGAAGGTGCTCATGCTTTCGTTTTGTCTTTTTTTTAACCTAGCAACTGATGACATTGCATATTTTCCGCTGTTCTGATTGGGAGAAGGCCCTGTGTGTCACTCAGTTGCTAAATCACCCAAGAGGTTCTCAGAAGGGACCTGTCAGTTTTAGGTTTAAAGAACCCAGAAAGAGAAGGACTATAGGGGAACTGATGGTGTTCTTGTTACCTCTCGTCGTTGTAGTAATGGTGAAGCACAGCGATTCCCGTGAGTATCCCATGTTCTTTTCTCTCCTAACTCCAAGTTGAGGCAGCCTAGAAGGAACAGCTTTTCTTCCTAAAACTTGTGGCGAAAAACATAGAAGCCAGGGGCAGAAAAGTGTATGTATTACACTCAGGACTCCAGGAGCAATGGACTACCTGAACAGTTTCCCAGTTCATATTTGTAAAATTTTGATATCACCACCTTCTGAGGGAGGGGGTTCTAGAAAGACTCTGGAACGTCCCCACTTTCCCTCTGAGCATGGCCTCCTTTCTTTTCTGCTCATATTTTTTCTTTTACTTTTGTTTCTCCTCTTTTCTAACTTCCAGAGTCTCATGAGGATGTAGTCAGAGTTTCAGGGGCGTTAACAGTGGAGCAGATCCATTGTTCAGGTTTATTTATGTTTTCCCTCCTCAACACAAGCCCTACCTGTAACAAAAGATCCAAGAAAGATAAAACCATGGCTCTGGCTTTGTTTACTGGCAGTGAGAAATATTAATCAAGTAGAAGGGAGAGTTTTTCACTGGGGAGCTCAAGTCACTGGGGAAGCAAATGCCTTCTGTTGCCTCAAATAGGCAAAAAGGCCCATGGGCTAGAACCACCAGGCTTCTCTGCCCTAGGCACCTGCTCTCTGGGCTGAGGACTGGTATTGGTGGGCAGTGTACCACCAGTAGACTTGGCCACCACCATAAGTGTGACTGATGGACATGAGAGGAAGGAGTTCTTTCAAATCACCCATGCACATAGAAAGTGGAATGATTGACAATGGAGATTTGGAAGGGCGAGGGGGGTGGATGATGAGAAATTATTTAATGGGTACAATGTGTGTTACTTGGGTGATGGATACCTTAAAGCCCCAACTTGACCATTACACAGTCTATGCTATAATAAAATTGCACGTTTACATCGTAAACTTACACAAATTAAAAAATTTAAAAATCATATGGCTGGGAGTGGTGGCTTACGCCTGTAATCCTAGCACATTGGGAGGCCAAGGCAGGCAGATCACTTGAGGTCAGGAGTTTGAAACCAGCTTGGCCATCATGGTGAAACCCCATCTCTACTAAAAATACAAAAAATTAGTTGGGCATGGTGGTGCACGCCTGTGATCCCAGCTACTCGGGAGACCGAGACAGGAGAATCGCTTGAACCCAGGAGGCGGAGGTTGCAGTGAGCTGAGATCATGCCACTGCACTCCAACCTGGGTGATGGAGTGAGACTCCCTCTCAAAAAAAAAAAAAAAAAAAAAAATTCCATGTGTTAATTGTTCAAATATTGATTGATGGCCTACTATGTGCCAGGCACTTTGCGGGATATGGCAGCAAACAAGACAGACATAGTCTCTGCTTCCATGAAAATTTAATCCAGAAAGTCTCATCATTTATGGGAAAGATTGGGGGTGAGGGTAAGAGGCAGAAGATGAAAGAGGAAAGGAAGAGGGAGGTAAAGGGTGATATTTTTGGAAGTAAAAAAGCTTATATATTACCTACATGTGATTCTCAAAGAGCTCTCCAATAATATGGAATAATATTCCTTAAACATATTGTCTCCTATGACAATCTCACTATTTGTGGTAGGTGAAGAAAATATCCCCATTTAAAGATGAGGTCTAGATTTTTCTCTAGGCCTAGAGAGTGACCACATTCAACATAAGGAGCAACCTGAAGGAGACTGCAGATCTTCCGGCCCTCGGTCCAGGGCTGTTCCACAATGTCACTGCACCTCTGGGTGTGAAGACTTGTCACTTTGGTAATTGGAGGGACAGGAAATAAAACAAGTAAGTTATAAAGGCAAGGGAAGGTCACTTGGTGCTGGCTGTTCTCTTTTGACTTCTTAGAGTGCGTCCTTCTCTGTTCTGTTCTGTGTCCTTGAGGCTGACTGCTAGACTGCATCACCTAGATTCTCTTGCAAACTGATTTGTGCTTGGGTTCACACAATGGGAGACACTGAAGGGAGAGAGGTCAGAGAGCAGGGAGGAAAGAGAGGCTGGGATACATCTTTCTTGCTCCTTCCCCACTTTCGGTAATGTCTTTGGCAGTAGCTGTGTTCTTCTGTAATGCTGTCTTTCCTAAATAACCCGTTCTTCATGGTTCTAGCTCCCATTGGGCTTCAGTAACAGTATTTGCTGTTTTTCTGTCTTAAGCCCTAGGGGTGATAATGGCTTCCCATAGTTGTTAGCCTGCGGGTGCCCATCATCCTTGCTTGTTCCTTTAACCTTGACCATATCTCTGCAAGGAGTCCCATTAAGGTCTCCTCACATGACCCATCTGGCTTGAAGGCTGTTTCCTGCTAGGACCCTAACTGAACATTCCTGGGCTTTGAGGGACACTGGCTGGGAAAGGATGAGATTATGAAAAAAGACCTGGTCTACTTGGTATTTATGCCTAGTGCTAGCCCTGAATGGGAGCTATATACCAGTAATACATGGGGAAACACAGGAGGAGATACTGAAGTGTTGTGGGCATACTCCAGGAAATGTCAACATAACTCCAATATCACTTTCAGTGTGTTGCTTTCATCGACCCCATAGCCTGCAGTTGACTCCTCCTTCCTTTGTGCTCCCGTAGCTCCTGTTCACAGTTCTATAATTTTCCATTTACAAAAATCTTCCCTTTGAGGCTCTCCTTAAAGACAGAAAGAGATAGCTTCATTTTCTTCTTATTTCTCTGGTACTACCTAGTGCCCAACAGGCACTTAGTAAATGTTTGCTGGGTGAATTTATGTTCAGAGGTAATATCCCTAAGAAATCACAGTTATTTGACTCGGAGCCGTAGAAGGCTTGGGCAGTAATAATGACTGCAAATTCAAAACTGTGGCTTACTGTAGTTGCAGGATTTGTATTAAAAAGGTGTTTTGTGCTTTTACAACTCATCTTGTTCTTCATTTCAGCCTGCGTGAAACTGTGAATTGGTGATATGGGTGGGTGTAATCAGACTGGGGGCTGGCATGAGATTTCTCATTCATAGCCATATGTGGTTTGTGTGTTTCATCTTGACATAACCAAGGTCAGTCTCTTGATATTACTCATAATTTCATGGCTGTATCAATCTGCTATATCAATCTACTTCATGAATGGTGGAGTCCTTCACAGGCGAGGTCTGATGATGGATAAGCTCCCTAGGCTGCCAACTGGGCTAGTGTTAAAAAACAGACTTGCATATTATCTGCTTAGAAGTGACCTTGAGTTCAAAGAGTTAACATGAGAAAATATGGGCGTTTTCTACAGACTTTATTAGATAGACTTCAGTCTGTTTCCATGGAGCTGTTGCCAAGGTACAGGCCATAGAAATTTCTCCAAGACAATGTTTCACTCCCTTAAGGCCCTCTTCTTAATTGGCATTGAATCTATCTAAATTTGAGAAATTCAACTAATTTGTAAATTTTTCTTTTGACTAGTTGAAATAGCTGCCTATCCTCACTTGACCGGAATCCTCCTACCCCACAGTATTGCTAAGAACTGGAGGGAAGGAACCTAAGTTAAAGATCGAACACATGACTGTTTGAACACTTATTTTAGGGAACTCAAATTGAAACAGATGACAAAGGATGTTTTTTCTGATGTCTGAATTTATATTTATTGGGGAAAATCTTTGAAGAGTATACATATTAAGTCACATTTTGTTATAACTTCAAAGGATCATTTTAGAAGACTAAAATTTATAGAATTGGGATTTTCAGGGAGACATGAGACATATAGTCATCATTGTGTACAGAGAGTACTGAGGGAAAAACGACAGCAGAGCTCATTCATTCGTTTTCCAAAACTCCACATGGTCCTACAGGGCTCACTTCCTTACTCCGTTCACATCTCTGCTCAAATGCCACCTGCTCTGGTCCCTCTATCTAAAAGATCAGGCCTCCTCTCCACTCTCTCTTTTCCCTGCTTTACTTTTCTTCATAACCTTTATCTCCACCTGACCTTGTATTATATATGCATTTATTGGCGATCTCCTGTCTAGAAATTAGCTCAGAGGGCTGGGACTTTCATGTGTTCCAGCAGCTAGGACTGTGCTTCCAGCAACTAGGACTGTGCTTACTGGACATTCAGAAAAGAATAAACCTATATGAAGTGAGACACTGGCAACCTTCAAAAGGGTAGCCTTAGAAAAGTAGCTCACAAGCCATACTTGTCACAGTCGCCACTTTTATGCTCTCAGTAAATTCCTGTAGTTAGACAAGTCATTAGAAGAGGGGACTAATGGTTCTTGCTGCACATAGAACCATCCATAAACATGGTCTGAGATGTGTCCAAAGGTCCCCTTAACTAAAAACATCGCCACCTACTTCTCCCCTCATTCCCACGATGCTCGAAATTCCAAAGAGTAGTTCCCAGGAATCATCATCATTTTGACCTTATTAAGGCATTGGACTGCTTGAGAGAGCCAGCAAATAATCAGACTGTGTTGACCTGGTTATCCAATCAGGACTCACGGCCACCTGTGTGTAGGAAGGTCTGGAGCCTGTGGCCCCAGGGACTGGGCAATCAGAGGCAGTGAGTCATCCTTGACACAAGGGGGCGGGAGAGAGCAGTGATAATCCAGGGGCTGGAAGCCTGAGACAGCCTGGCCTAGGAGGCGCCCCCTACACTAGGGAGAGTTGGGTAGTCTTAAGGTAGAGGGACTTCCCATGGAGAGATCACAGTGTGATTCCTGGTTCCTTCACTTATGGATTCTAAGGATGATCTTGGGCAATTAATATCTCTGCACCTGTTTTCTTTTCTTTTTCTTTGTTTTGAGATGGAGTTTTGCTCTTTTTGCCCAGGCTGGAGTACAACGGCACGATCTCGGCTCACTGCAATCTCCGCCTCTGGGGTTCAAGCGATTCTCCTGCCTCAGCCTCCCGAGTAGCTGGGATTACAGGCATGCGCCACCACACCCAGCTAATTTTTTGTAATTTTAGTAGAGACAGGATTTCTCCATGTTGGCCAGGCTGGTCTTGAATTCCTGACCTCAGGTGATCCGCCCGCCTTGGCCTCCCAAAGTGCTGGGATTACAGGTATGAGCCAC